TAATAGCATCAGAATGAGATGGTACAACACAGGGTGGACACAGTCGGGCCAGGTGGCAGGGACAGTCCTCCCTGGGAGCTCCAGCACATCAGAAGGCACCTACTGACTGGCAAGTGCATTTAGCAGCTCCTCAGCTCACCCACTGGCTATTTGACATCGTGGCAGAAGGACCATCACTTCCATACAGGTGAGTTTTCCATGGAAAAGAAGAGGAAGTAGCATCAGGTTCTTTAGGTTCTTCCTTCATATGCCAAGTCTTTGAATCTGGATTCTTCCCATTCTCCAAAGTACTTTTCAAAAAAGGGAAGAAGGGAGAAATGTCACAGCTCAGGATTTCTCTCCTACTTCATGGAACTAACCAAACACCCATGGCCTTGGAAAAAATGTCCTCAGCTTCACTGAGTTGCTTATTCATTAGTTTATCATCAGAATCACACCATGAGGAGCCTGTGAAAAGAAACCTGCAGATGCAAAACACTTCACATGTGCAAAAGTTAAGTTTTAGGGATATATTTGTGCCAGAAAGGAGAGTCCACACATGTGACAGGGATACAGTGACCCTCTGGGAGCAGCTGGATCAGGAGCACCTGGGTCCTGCCCAGCCCTGAAGATGCAGGAAGAACCACCAGGACCAGCCCCTACACTCAACTGACAAGGTGAGAAACTGGAACAAGTGGCAACATGGGAAATTCCAGCTTAGTCCAAGGAAAAATCTCCCCCCAGGAGTGCTCCAAGGCTGAACCTGGAGCCCACAGAGGATGAGGGATCTACATCCCAGGATATTCACACCTCAGCTATGCAGCCTCATGGACCTGGCCCTGCTCTGAGCTGGGGTTGGGCTTCCAGAAGTCCCTCCCAACCTGCATGAATCTTTGGAAGGTGCATTTCTAGTGCTTGCAAAGTGCAACATGGAGCAGGAGGTTTGCAGAAGGCTTCTGCTTCTCCACTGAAACCTTGTTGGGTTTTCTCCAGGAATTAGGGCCTTGAAATTGGGGCTAAAGACATAGAGAAGTCAAGGGATAACCCAAGCTCTGCATCCCCCAGAGGCAAGAACAGTTTCCTCAGTGCAGCAATGGGACTGATCCCTCCAAACAGATCCAGAAGAGGTGGACAAAGGGCAAGGCAAAAAACTGCTGCTATTCAAATACAAGAGGCTGTCACAGTGATTGCTCAACTTCAGGCCATTTCCTCTAAGTCCAGTTGTTACTTGGGAGAGGAGGCAAACACCCACCTCTCCAAAACTCCTCTGTGCTTTTGCCAATGTGCAGCCAGGGAATGTTCCACATCCCACAGCCAAGGGATCCACCCCTGCTAAGGGCAATGAGGGAAAAAAATAACCAACCAAGCCAGTCCAAAGTGTCCATGAAAGATTAGCCAGAAACCTGTGTCTGCTACCCAAGAGAGATGGAGGCAAAAAAGCAGAGCTGTAGGTGAAGGTTTGAGCCATGTGCTCATCTCAGGCCAGCAGGTTAATCTCCTTGCACACTGTTCACACTCCCTGCACACCAGGACACGGGTGTTTGCACATGAGATGGTGGGATGGGCTACTTGAGAGAGCACAAGCTGTGAGCTCTGTAGTTGGGGTGTCTTCCTGGGAGTGAAGCAACAAGAGGAAAATGAAAAAGGTCTTCTGCTGCCTTGGCAACTGGTCAGACCCTTGTTCTGTGAGCCCTTCTGCAGGCATTGGGTTGCCACCCCATCAACCTTTGCCAAGGGTGCTGGCACTGTTGTTTTATTACCTTTCCACTGCATTTCCCCATAAGTGAGTCCTAAAAACACCTAGAGTTAAATGCCTTTTAACATGCCCACAGCCAAGAAGCACATTTCAAGGAGGCCCTTTCTCCTGAGCAGCCACTTGCCCCACTCTGCCCCCAAACCTGCAGACCTGGGGGCCATAAAAGTCATGCTGGGAATTGTACTCACCCAAACCACACTATTCCCTCTTGTCAGGGCTGAAATGGCTGGGTCTGTGCCAGTCTCCAGGGCTGCTGCCTCTCCCTGCTGAGGCTTCAGGAGCAAACACACCTGTCAAGAAAGAACAGAGACACACGTCGTGTGTGTTCAAACACGGGGTTGCTCAGCATCAGGGCACCCTCAAGGGTGCCCACAATTGGTGATGAGAGCCTGGCAAGCAAGAAGACTCTTCCACAGAGCCTACAAAGCACAGCACTGCCCTAACTCTGAACCCCACTGCCCTCACAGCTTCCCCCAGGGAAACACAGGAAAGAATACCTGGCTGTGACCCAGGCAAACCCCTGGTCTTCCCTGTTTCCTTCTCCCTCAGATGACCTTCAGGAGGCCCAAGGAGATGATCCAAATGGCAAACCAGGACAGAGCATCATGGCAGAAGTGGCTCACCTTCTCTGTGGCTGCTGCCTTGCCAGCTGGGGCTCATCATGGGCACGTACATCATCTGGAAATGAAAGAGGTTTCTTTAAAAAGCTCATCTGTCAGCACATCTGCCTGGCCTGCACTGCCTCACTGTGTCACCACTGGGTTAATTCCAGAGTCATTATTCATCTACCTGGACAAAAGCTCATCTGTCAGCACGTCTGCCTGGCCTGCACTGCCTCACTGTGCTACTGTGTGACCACTGGCTTAATTCCAGAGTCATTATTCATCTACCTGGAAGGAAGGCTTTCTGATGCTATTGCAAAGCAGTGAGGTTGCAGGTGGGCCCTCAGCTCAACCTCTTTCATCCATCAGGCTTGACCTGACCTTCCTGTGCTGCAGATACAGCCAGGAGAGCAGAGCTCCTCAGCTGCAATCACACAGGGCACTTCTTTGACTCATTTAGCCCAAATTCCTCTTTTAAAAGCTCCCTATACCCTTGTTAGTCTCTCTCCCAGTGATACAACCCCAGCCTTGGCCAATCACAATCCCTTCTCCTATCCAAATGCCACCAGCACTACTGGAGCTACAGCAGCATCACCCCCAGTGAATCAGGCTGAGATCCCTTGGGCTGAGTTGCAGCTCTAGAGCAAGAGAGAAATCCTTCCCTTTTCATGTGCAGCAATTCCCTTTGGCAATTTCCAAATTCCAAACAGCAA